CATGTTATTGTAAATAAGCAAAGGTGACATGAGTGACTGGCTACTGGATTTTAACAGCAGGAACAAAATTAAAGGCACTGAAAATGACTTTTAACGGCTAAAGTAACCTTTATTTCAAAGATTACATTCAGTCTACAACAATGGCCTCAGTGCTGTGAAAGGTGTCCTTATCAAACCTGTAAATGTTGTCCAGGACCATCGCACATTGCACTGGGAATGGTAAGCACGTGCCGCAGCTACACATGGCTGTCATAATGGGGTAATAATAATAATCCTTGCATTTGATATAGTGCCTCATCACATCTCTGAGACGTCTCCAAGCCTTTCACAGGATACACTGTAAAGTGAAGTGACTGTGCACTTTGAGGCATCTCTCTGGGCAAGTTCCAGCGCTGTGCGGTTTCCCCGCAGTGAGAACCAAAGGGCACACGAGGTCAGTTCCGGGCTGGGCTGCTGGCTCTGTGATTGGTAGGCTCTCATCCAATGGCAGAGACGTGCGCTGCTGTAGTTGGTTGTGATTGGTTGATTGCCGCCAACCAATCAGCATTCAAAAAGAAGCGCGGAATTCAAACCTGTTTAAGCGCTGCGAGGAGCAGCCCTGGCTCTCAGGAACACCGGCTGCTCACGCTGTTGTCGTTAGAAGTACTTTTTATATATGTATGTATATGTATATATATATATATACACATTCAATATATATACTTGGAGACGTGATATATATATATGCTTTGTATATCTATAAAGTAGCTTTGTATGACATGAATTTTGACCTCTGCATTACTTCATTTTACCAATCCCCTTCGGCTTTTTAAAAATATACATGTATCTGTTATTTATATATATAGTATACATATACATATATTTTATTAGATATATTATTTTTATATTATGCGTGTTTGCTGTAAATTTCTGGTTACTAATAGTTTTGTGCAAATTGACTTATGAATGGATGTTGCGTGCAGTTACAACAATATTTATTTACACAACTACTAGAATTTGTTTGGTGCAGATGAGATTTTACCTTTGTGCATGTTGCGTTTTTAACTTTATTTTCAAAGCAGGCTGACAGTGTTCTGACAATGCATCCTCGTGGCTTAATATGATTGCTCAGAATTTCAACCGAAAGCCAATTTGAAATCTCTATAAATGGGAAGATTTAACTAAATTTTGATCTGAACATATAACCTTTGTTTCACATGTTTGCACTGAGCAGACAGACGATTAAGACAGATGGATTTTTTTTCTACTGCTGTATGCAAAATGTCTATAGTACTTAGCTGATGTGGTTGCACGTATCACTCCATATTCCACATATAGTTAAAGGACAAGCGGCAGCTCTCTCCGAATCTTCACTTTACATGTACTGCAGTTGATTTGAAGTAGTCGTCCAATTTCAATTAAAACTGTGCTATAGTCAATGCAAAGTGTGGCATGGTTTTAATTGAAATTGGATCTGAATTCACACAGTAGGTTTTAATTCAGTTGAACTAATTTAAATTAAACAATTTACTTTATTGCAAAAGTGGTGAATGGAAAATAAATACCTTTAGACAGTTGTTAAAAGATGGAAGAGTAAGATCAAGAAAACCCATTCGTCCATTATAATAATAATAATTGAATTTGATATAGCGCTTTTCACATCTAGATGTCGCAAAGCGCTTCACAGAATATACTGTAAAGTGAATTGACTGCATATTTGTGGGTGAATTGCAGCAGCCAATTACGCACAGCAGTGTCCCACAAACAGTCATGGATTGAAGTGACCAATTTTTATTGTTTTTTTCTCTTGAGGGATTATTATCAGGCATGTGGAGTAAGGAAACTTGCCCAAGGTTTTGCCCTGCCGGGAATCAAACCCAGATTTCCCGTTTGCAAGGTGAGTGCTCTAACTACTGAGCTACAGGATTTCTTAAACAGTCATTTTGTTTTAAACCCTAATTATAATCAAAAGAGGATTTGTAACATTATGAGAACTCTGAAAATCTATAAAATACACATTATAAATTTGTGTATGTGCAGAGCGCACACACAAAAACTTCTATCTTTACTATAGTCCTCTTGTGAGAAAATGACAACTGGAAACTTTGACTAACTCTTGTTGCCCGACACAAAAAATGAAGAATGCAACATCCATGGATAAAGTTATCCAATCACTTTCCCATTGAACAGCACCTGCTAATAATTATTTGTAAGGCTATTCTTTTTTAGTCATAACTATATCCTGGTGTTTTATAATAGTCCAGTTTGCATAGTGTTGGGGAGTTGGTATTAAAGAGTAGGATGTTGTGGATATACATTTTAGAATATTTTATGTTTGCCTCCTCTTTGCATTTTAAGGGCCAGATATTCACTCTCTTGTGATCGTGGCAAGGGATTTCTATGAGGAAACAAAGATGGTTCCTTGTTAGAGGAATGAGAATTTTGCTGTACCTAGAGGTTTAAAAAAAAGAGTAGAGGACATTAATTAATGGTGATTATATTCTAAATGGGCTTGATAATTCATACTTTTAATTTATTTGTATACAATTGTAATTATAATTAATTGAGTCCTTATCTCAGTACATTATTGCATTTCTTCAAGTCTCCTTCCTTATCTTGTAGGTCTCGCTCTCTTCCCATTTTCTGCTGTTGCAATGCTTTTATGGTTCAAACAACCTCGTGATAATCTCCAGAAAATAGATAGATCTCAGTCCTCCAGCAAGTCTCCAAAAATAACTCTTGCGTTTCTAATAATTGTTGTTCTCCAACTCCTTAAGAGAACAACGAGAGTACAATTCATCCTTTGCTCTCCTACCTCCATTTCTGGAAGGGTGAGGGGGTGGGGGGGGGGGGGGGGGGAGGGAGAGAGAGAGTGATCTTTTATATTAAATGAACCTATATAAAATCCTCTCTTGACAGGCTTGTTGCGCTGTCAGGTCACGTCACCCTCTACCGCCGTTTACTTGATTTACTTGTGCAGTGCTCCCCCCCCAAAAAAAAACCCGTGTCACTGCTCAAGAACCAATTACACCCCCTCTCTCCCTCTCTCCCTCTCTGCGATGGTGAGCGGAATCCTTCGAATCGTACCTTTACGACCAGAAGGTAATATCAGAATTTACCCCTCAGACAAACAATGGAAATGTCAATAACAAATTAAGATTTCCCACGAACGCCACGAATGGAATTAATTGTATGTCAAAGCACGAAAGACGGAAGAGTTTTTTTTAAAAAAAAATGTACATTTGATTTTTTTTTAAAAAAAGGCACATTTTGTTTTTGAAACGAGACATTTATGCTCAACCCCCGAAGGGTTTCAAAAAGCGTTTCACCCATTTTGAAATACGCAAATTAAACTTTTTTTTACCGCCCCCCCAAAAAAAAGTTTCAAACTCGCTCCTTGGACCCGTGCAGTAACTTTTTGGGTTGTTTTTTGCCTCTCTCCTCCCCACTGTTCTGTCCCGATTTCACCCATGAACCGAGCAGAGAAATTCTGTAACGTGTGTTTGTGTGTGTGAATTATATTGGAGAGGGTGTTTTAAATTAATATACCCCCCTCCCCCCCACCCCCTTTACCTTCAGACCCTACATCGGAGCGAAGGGTATACTGTATATTATATGTAAAATTTACTTCTGCCGTTTCTTATTATTTTTAAAAACAAATCTTCGAGAGGAGCCTCTGGTTGTGCGGACACAGTGTATATATGTGTATGTATAAATATGTGTGTGTATGTATATATATGTGTGTATGTATATATATGTGTGTGTATATATATGTGTATATGTGCATATATGTGTGTATATGTTTATGTATATATGTGTATGTATAAATATATATGTGTATATACATATATATATATGTGTATATATATGTGTGTATATATGAATGTGTGTGTGTATATTATAATGTATACACTGTACAGGTAGATATATATTCTATTAATCGTTCGTAAAAAAAAACCCAAGTGACTTACGAGAGAGCGAGTGAGAGCGAAGGCCGAGGGGTGGCGGTGGGTGAGGGGGTGAGGGGGGGGGGTGAGGGGGTGGGGGGGCTGGGTGAGGGGGGTGGGTGAGGGGGTGAGGGGTAGGGGGGCGGGTGAGGGGGTGGGGGGGAGGGGGTGAGGGGGGGCGGTGAGGGGGTGAGGGGGGGGTGAGGGGGGCGGGTGAGGGCGGGTGAGGGGGGTGGGTGAGGGGGGGTGAGGGGGTAGGGGGGCGGGTGAGGGGGTAGCGGGGCGGGTGAGGGGGGCGGGTGAGGGGGTGGGGAGGGGGTGAGGGGGGGCGGGTGAGGGGGGGCGGGTGAGGGGGTGAGGGGGGGCGGGTGAGGGGGTGAGGGGGTGGGTGAGGGGGGCGGGTGAGGGGGGGTGAGGGGGGGGGTGGTGAGGGGGGCGGGTGAGGGGGGGTGAGGGGGTGAGGGGTGAGGGGGGCGGGTGAGGGGGGGGCGGGTGAGGGGGTGATGGAGAAAAGTCGGCGGTTAATCCAAAGTACAGCAAGTGATGAGCGGTCAGCCCCGTGTGGAGGGGGAATGACGGGCGGTTTGAAGTGCGCGCGAGCGCGGCACACACCCCAACAACACGAGGAAAACAAATAAAATACATTAAATTAAATAAAGAAATAAATAAATAACGCCCGGCTCGGCGTGAGGGGAGGGGGGTGAGTGGGTGAGTGAGTGAGAAGCCGCTGCACTGGGCCGAGCGGGCGGCCGTTGCCAGGGACGACGGTGAGGGCGGGCGGGAAAGAGCGAGAGAGAGAGAGAGAGCGAGAGAGAGAGAGCAATTGATTTGCAGTGACCTTCCTGGACCTTTTCTTGTTGTTGTTGTTGTCGTGGTCGGGGCCCGCGAGGCGCTCGGGACTGACCCACGTGACCTCCCGACGCTCCTCCTCCGCGCGCGCGTGCGTGCGTACGTGCGCTTTAATTGGCCTTTACCCTTCCAGGACCTCCAGGCCGCCGGGGCCCGCCCATCACCCCTCCCCCTCCCCCCGCCCTCGCCACCCGCCGCCAGGGCCATCCCCGCCCGCGGAGGAGCATGGGTAGAAAGCGCGGCTTCGCGGAAGCGCCGGCGGATTCCAAGATGGCGGCTGGGTGCTGTGGAGTGAAGAAGCAGAAGCTGTCGAGCTGCTCGTCCGCCGCTGCCGCGTCGACGTCGTCGTCCTCGGCCGCCGTCGCTGCCGCCGCCTCCTCCTCGTCGTCCTCCTCCTCCTCCTCCAACAACACCACCACCACCACCAGCAGCGAGAACCACTGCAAGGAGGCGGGCCGGGCCAACGGTTTCGGCGGCGGGTGCCCCGGCGGCAGGAGCATGGTGGTCAACTCGGAGATGTGTTGCTTCTGCTTCGACGTCCTGTACTGCCATCTGTACGGATATCAGCCGCCCCGGAGCCCGCGGTTCACCAACGACCCGTAGTAAGTAGCTTTCGTCCCTCTCTCTCTCTCTCTCTTCGCGCTCAGCTTTTGCAACTGCCTCTCTCCCTCCCCCCCACACACCACCACCACCCCCACACCGGCCGGTTTGTGCCTGGTTTCTTCCTCGGGGGGGGTGTGTGTGTGTGTGTGTCTCTGCCTCTTCCCCCCCATCCACCCCCACCTTTCCTGTGTGTGTGTGTGTGTCTCTGGAGCGGGATGGCATCGCTTCTATTGTGTGTGTGTGTGTGTGTGTTTGTCTCCGTCTCTTGGAACTAAGTTCTCAAGGCTCCTAAACTACAGGGGAGGGGTGTGGGGGAGAGGGGAGAAAGAGCAAAGCCACACACACACACACACACACAGGAGAGAGAGAGAGAGCATTTCTTTCTCTCTCTCTCTCTCCTCTCTCCCCTTCATTCCGCGGCGTCTTTAGTTGTTGTGCTTTGTGTCAAAACATTTTTTTTTAGAGAGAGGGGGGAAAAGAAACACACACACACACACGCAGTCTGTCTGTCTGTCTGTCCGCCGCTCTCCTTAAAGTTTGCGAGTCGGAGTCTGTGCCTCGGAGAGCAGTTGTCTGGCCGGCCCTGCCCTGCCTGTCTGCCTGTCTGCGGTGGTGTGTAATCTTTCTCTTTCTCTCCCCTCCTCTCTTCTCTCCCCCCCCACCCACCACCACCACTCCGCCCCCCCCCAAAAAAAAAACTTTTACCTCCATTCACTTTGTTTGTTTGTGGAGAGAGAAGTTCCCTCAGATCGTTCGACTGTGACATTGTGGTGTTTTCTTCAGCCTCCGGCGGCGCGTTGTTTCGTCCAAAAGGTGGTTCTGTCCTCGTGTATGAAATAAATACATATACACACACACTAATATATATATTGTATGTGTGTGTGGGGAGGGGAGGGTGGGGGGGCGTTGAGGGTTGAAGTCGGCCTTGAACTAACTTTCTGTGACTCGAGCTCCAATGGGCTTCTGAGGGAAATGTGTGGGTCCTGCGGTAAGAGAGCAGTCGGTGACCCCGAGTGCACACACCCGCGACTGTGGCTTTATAAAATCCCTTTATCGATAAAACAGCTAATTTTTTTTTTGGGGGGTGATATTTCAATTAATGTCTAGTGGTTTCTTAAAAGCTGCTGTTCTGTTTTGCCCCCCTCCTCCCCTCCCCTCCCCTCCCCGCCCCCTCCTCCCCCCATACACACACTCATATTCTATTCAGTTTATTGTTTAGGGACTTGATTTGCAACTTTCTTTGTTGCATGGTTAGCATAGAGTAGAGCGTGCACACTTTTTTTTCTCTTTCCGCAGATGGTTTGTTTCCACGCGTCAATTGAAACCGAACGTTTGGGCTTTGAGTCCGAATTGTGATTCTCAACAAGTAATGTTTCTATATAATCGCCAGTGACTGACATAATACCGAGACATTGGTGACCTCGGTTACTTTGAAGCTGGAAACTGTACAATCAGACCTTTAATTAAATGACTTGTGACTGTTCAGTGTTAGAACGACGAGATGCTGTTTACTAGTCACTTTTAAATTTAACAAAAAGTATCTCGGTTCACTTTTATATTTATATTTGCTTGAGAAGATGAATGAAGATTAATTTAAATCTTAGCCGCCGTGAGGGGACCGTGCCAACTGAATATAAGTTTTGTGATAGACTATAGTTTCATTGGACAAGCATGTATAAATGTCAAGGGTAGAAACTTTGCAACTCTTTTTAAATTTAGTTAATTATTTCATAGCAGGGCTATGGGGAGAGCGCAAGGGAGTGGGATTGATTTGGATAACTCTTTTGAAAGAGCCAGCACAGACACGATGAGCTGAATTGCCTCCTTTTGTGCTGTATAGTTCTATGGTCTGCTAGCCTTGAGGATTGTAAGTGCTTTGAAACTTTATTTTATGTGTAAGGAAGTCACTTTAGAAATGATAGTTCATGGTTGCAGATTCTTCAGTGGCTGCTTATTATTAGCGAAGCAATAACGTTTTATAGTGAGCTTTTGAATTGTAGTTCACTTCTTCCTTCACCCCGTCTTCAAACGGTTGTGTACGGAGGCTTTGTATCCTGAACTAACAGAATTTAGCTATTTTTAGAAAATTACCCGTTTCAGAGGAGAGTCGCAAGAATAAGGTGATGTAATGTATTGAGGGTTGTCTGGAATTCCAAACTAGGTGTAATAATAATTTGGTCACTCAATTCATGACTGTTAATGGGACATTGCTGTGCGCAATTGGCTGCTGCATTTGTCACTACATTTTACAGTATATTCTGTGAAGTGCTTTGAGATATCTTGAAGATGCGATAAGGCACTGTATCAAATTGCAAGGATTGTTATAAGTCACAATCACTTTTTTTAAACAAAAAANCTACTGTAATGTGACTTTGTGAGGCTAAGCATAAAAAGTGAGTTCACGTTCAAGGTTACTGGTCCAGAAACCACACTGAGAATCTATTTGTGTCTGAAAGTCTCTGAATTTTAAGATAACAAGTGTAAGATTTCACTTGCTACTAAGGTGACAGAATCGCCACACATAAGAGCAAAAGGAATTTCGTCTCTTGCATCTCAGGAATGTGGGTGGTTGAGAACAGACTAACTTACTTGTAAAGTATTTTTGAGGTACATCTGAATGGGGTGCACTTATAGGATGTCCTGAATGGAAGAAATATTGCATTAATAAAGTGAAAAGCTTGAAGTGACTACACCATCATGTGGATCTCCTGGAGAGGACCATAATTGAACCTTAAATTCTGGTAGATCAATGGTGATTCTCGTTTAAATTGGTTATTTTTCTATATATTTACAGTTCATGCATTGATGCAGAAGAAATACTATTGCTGTGTGAATTACTCAAATGGTGCAACATGTTTATTACAGTAAAATTAACTAGACCCTGTTTATACAATCTTTTCAACAAATTGATATATTGAAAAAAATTAACCTATGCTTTCCTTGAATTTTTCCATCAACTTATTTTTTTAAAAATCGTAAATCTTTTTGCCCCAAAATGTGACTATGGTGTAACCCACAAGTGATAATAACTGAGGATATAATGTATCCATTATCTAAAGTGATTTTAAAAAATATTGCAGTGATTTTTTTCTTTCTGCTATTGTGGATAATGTATTGCTGCAGGGCCTTGAACCCAGGACAGCAACTGGAAATCTGATTGCCAAAAAACGAAGTGCAAACATCAGTGAAGCAGAGACGCTGAATGTGAGATGAACATCAGGAAAAGGTAGTAAAACTAGGGGCACATTTGATGTGGCCTGGAAGAATTGTGATGAATTAAGATTCGGTAGAATGATTGCAGTCAGGGCAGTTAGATGAGTAAGCCTGGTGAGGAGAAATGATAGAGGATGTGATAGTGAATGATTACAGGAAAAAGTGGAAAATGAAGTGGGAGGATATATAAACTATAAAACCTGATGCTGTTGTTCATGCATGCTGTTCATTTATATAACTTTTCTATCCTCAGTCAAGGTTCTGAGACCTGCAGACATCCTTTCTTTAAGGCTGGATAGATTTTACACTAATCTATTTATCCCCAGTACAGTTCCATCCTGTTATAATCTGTTTCACCATCTTGGGATGTCTTCCCGATGGGAAGGCCACTATACAAATGTAGTTTGTTGCTGTTCATACAAAGTGGTTATTGCATCTAAAATAGAAAAAGGGTGTCGCTCTGCTCAGTTGATAGCACTCAAGATCAGAAGGTTGTGGGTCAAGCCACGGATCAGGTTTTAACTTGAGCGCTAATGCATTGCCGTGCTGGAGGTGTGCTCCAGTGTTAAGAGATGTAGTTTAGCTCTGAACGTATCAAATGCCCACTTTGAGCAGTCTTGACCATATTTCACTTCTATTTCTGTTCTGTTGGGGACAGTGGTGTCACTGTTTCCATGTAGACTTGTATGCGCTAGAATATGGACTGAAGTATCCAAAGTGTATACGCAGGCCTTTGACGATATTTGGTGTCATTGATCCTCTGGGTGTGTCCTCTAATACAGGTCTCTTGAACAATGGATCTTGAGTATCCTTTTTCTTAAAAAGAAAAGCTGCTCCAGGTCTGATTCACTGAGATGTGAACGTGCAGGTCATGATGACTTGACCATGTTTTTCCTCCCTCATTAGGAACTTGTTCATAGTGGATTAATTGATGTGAACCAGTGTCCTTTTGGCGTAGCACAGATGTGTTCTGCTGCTATACGAACTGTATGTTATATCAACTATATCTGCTATATCAACTCTTGTGACCATGATTGGCAATTCATCTTTGAGCTGTTATTCCATTGAATTCTTTAAGTTTCGCGACATTGTAGGTCAAGTTGATTAAGTTTTTTTTTAAAATCAACACTGGCCTGTGAGGGTTTTGGCTTTTAGTTTAATATTCTGATCCCAATTGCTTGATGGTAAAATGAACTTTGGAGGTGGCCTCAGCTTTTCTACTCTGTTTTGATTTATTATTCTTGTCTAAATAGCCTGTAACAGATGTGGGGGGTGGGGGGTGTCCCTATATATTTCTTTTGTTGCTTGATTTTTTTTACAAAGCTGGTTCAGGTAGGGCTAGAGTAGAAGAATGTTGTGTGGTGAGTAATGGTATGAACGTGCATCTGAATTTTAATGTACTCTTAAGCAGCCAACAAACTTGTTGGGATTCAATTTTGCTGTTTGAAAGCTTCCATAATAAACTAACATTTATACTAATGACGAGCAGGATGCTGGGGCTACAACCGCCAAAATATTTCACTCAAGCATGTAGATTGTGTTGGAGCCAATTCTTCCATGATGCTTTGGGGGGTGCATGAAGGGAGAGAGGAGAAACAGATGTGGTACCAACGTGCAGCACCAAGGAGTGGTTGGGTTTGTTTTTGTATATCTGATGTCTTCCCTTTCCTACGCTCAGAGGTCCTAACCTCATCTGTACTGGTCAGTATATCTAGCACAGGATGGAATGAATGTCTTGAAGTGCTTACAGAATATTGTATAATACAGTGAGGGGTTCTGAGCGAAG